GAATCTCACCTTGGGGGATGGGGAGAAGACATAATGGTATGAGTAGGTGAAGGCATGAGTGAAAAGTGTCAAAAGTATATTGGAAACATGAAAAGAAAATGTAATAATGTAACTTTTACTATATGTTATTTTAATTGTAGATTAAGAGATTTTAAGACTGAATGTATAAAGTAGTAATACTTAATGCAGTATGAGTTGTTTTTAAGATTTTGTGCATAAATGTATCATACTTTGTGTATTAAAAATTGTTTTTAAGACTTTTGATAAAATCTGGTTTATAAGATAGTATAAATATATATGCACACACATACACACATATATACATATTTTGTAACTCATAAATGATTGTAGACTTTATCATTATGGGGTTTGAAAACCTTGTAATCCGACGATTTCTCTTTCCAAATCTCGGGCCAATCAACATAAGAACCTTGGATTTATATATTAGCCGATTTGCAAACCAATACCATAAAATAAAATTGAGAGTGACATATTTCAAAATAAAACATAAAGTAAGACCGAGGGTTTTAGTCCTCACCTTTGAAAGGAGTTTATTCTACCATCACACTTTATCTGTTGGTGTATGTTGATGACGTCGTTCTTATCAGAAATGACCCATCATCAATCAAATGATTAATTTCTCGTACTTACAAGAAATTTGCTATTAAAGGCTTGAGTCATCTCAACTACTTCCTTGGACTCGAAGTTATGAATACTGATAATGGACTATTCTTGGGACAAGTCAAGTACGCTCGTGACATTGTCTCTTGAGCAAATCTCTTGAACTTAAGTGTGTAGCGACTCCCTTGCTACCTCAAAATCTCTTACGATTGAAGGTCCAATCTTTCACGATCCCCATTTTACCCCTCTCTTGTCGGGACTTTACAATACCTCACCATCAAGGTCCCGACTTGTCCTATGCAGTCAGCCTCATGAGCTAATTCTTGCATGTGTCTACTAGTGAACATTTGCTGGCTTGTGAAACACCTATGGATATTCCAAGAAACAACCTACTGTATGTCACCCAAGTTGTGAATCTGAATATCGAACTACCGCTAATGCAACATCTAAACTCGTTTGGGTAATATACTTACTCAAGGAACTACATGTTCTGCCCCCTACTCGTCCTACTCTGCTATGTGATAACAAAAGTGATGTTTTTTGACATCTTCACCAAAGGGTTGTACAAGACAACCCTTTAAACTTTTGTGTTCCAAGCTTCACGTCGGTCCTAACCCCACATTATGCTTGTCGGGGGGATAAGGATTAAAATATTTTCTAGAACATTCTCTCAATATTTTTATATATTTTTTCTGTAATTACTGTAAACTCTATGTAATCATCCTTTATATAGTCGATACACACAAACAACACTGTATTAGGGGGGCAACTGACTCAATAAAATCGAGAAGGACAAATTCTAGAACAGAACACAAAGCAAGATTGAGGGTTTCGGTTTTCACCTTCAGAATCAAAACGAATCATGCAGATACACAACTAATTAATTTTAAAACGAGTAGTCTATTTGTTTCATGTACCAATTTTGGACCAAGTCAAACACTTGAACTGAACCCAGGTTGAGTTAAAATATGATTTGGATTTAACATGTTTAGTAGAACAAATATATCATTTTTTTTTTGTTATGTCTTCTAGATTCGTAACAAAAATTATGATTTGGGTAAAAGATGAAATACCGGGAACCCCAACTGACTTTTCACGGAACCTGCCTCCAAAGTCACCAATATGAATCGAACATTTTTTGGCTCACTCAATGGCTGAGGCTAATAAGGATCTAGGATCGAATTAGGGACTTGTCTTGTATTTGGACAAAGTTACGTCACCCATTTACTTTACAAAACGTAATTTTTAATGGAACTTCATCGTTATACAATCATAAAGTTTTTTATTAAATAAACTTTAATTTTCATTCATGTGGTTGGTAAAGATTTTTATTTAAGAGCTAAAACTTGTGGAGTTTGGACAACTTGGTAGTCAATTTTATAGTTTAATGCTTATTGAAATTATAAAAAAATTAAATGCATTTTGGAATTATTTTTCAATAAATGTGTGTCATGAAAGGATAAAAAAACATTAAGTCGTTGACATGGAAGATGGAAGTCGTCATGCCTTATATATATATTAATTAACCTGGATATCCAATTCGTTATGTGAGCCGACTAATCCCAAAATAACAACCTGCTTTGCAGATAGCTCGGAGTCACCACATTTGAATTTCCGTGGCTACAAGGGGATTATTATTCTTCCTTGGATTTGAAACTGAGACCTTCTGGTACTTTTGACCTTTGGAGCCAAGCTCAAACCAATCAGTTGAGATCTAATGGATTTAGGTGAATCTGATTTGATCTAATCATTCATTGGATGTTGGATTTTGTCATCCGATTCAATCCGATTAACGTTGGTGATTGGATCGGATCGGTTCCATCCATTGGATGTTATGAATGGTTATGCATTGGATCTGATTTGTATATTTTCTTAAGTTATTAAAAAGCAATATATATAAATATCAATTCAAAAACAAAATCGTAAAATATTACTAATTATATATAGTTATTAATTGAATGTTAATTGGATGATTATTGTATTGGATCGGTTCGGTCATATTGGATGTTGGACTGTCATCGAAGAATCGACCGATCCGATTTGGATGTTGAAATTATGGGTCCGATCCAATCCCATTACAATTGGATATTCGATGATGGTCGGTCGGTTCTAATTGGATAGGTTGGTTGGTATTGGATCGGACGACTTTCTGCACACTCCTACTTTGGTTCAATTTTACAATTTTGGTCTCATACTGTAGAAATCATGTTTGCGGTATATTTTCTACACGTTAATTAATATTCTTTTCATTCTAAAATAAGTATCTACAGTTTTATTTTTATTTGTTTCTAAATATAATAATTACATATTTTTAAAAAATTTCAATTCCTACCATCACTTGTGTTTGTGGATAAAATAAAAAAACAGAGGCTCCATTTTCAACTACTACTATCACTTTTTTACAAACGCTTATTCAGGTAACTATTTATCAAGTTATATTATCTTATTAAATAAATATAACAAAGATCAAGAATCTTACATGGTAAGAATGAAACAAAGACTAAGAGTTTTACATGGTAAGTGAGGGTGACGACTCTTACCACGATAAGAATTTACCGGGTAAATTGTAGCATATGATGTCGTTTTGGTGAACTAAAATCTTACACGGTAAGTAAGTAATAGTGTTGAATTTTACCGGTAAGCACTTACCGGGTAAGTGTTTGAAAACCGGCTCATTAATCATCTGTAAAGTAATTCTTATTTTTTTATATTAATATAAAAATATAAGTATCGAGACATCGACTTAGGGGTTGTTTACCAAACGCTTATCCAAGTAACTATTTACCAAATCACATTATCTTATTAGATAAATATAGCAAGGATCAAGAATGTTACATGGTAAGAGCGAAACAATGACTAAAAGTTTTACCTGGTAAGTGAGAGTGACGACTCTTACCACGGTAAAAGCTTACCGGGTAAATTGTTGCATATTGTGTCGTTTTGGTGGACTAAAATCTTACTCGATAAGTAAGTAATTGTGTTGAATTTTACCAGTAAACACTTACCGAATAAATGTTTAATAAACAACACCTTAGACTCGGTCTTATTTCCAAATTGTGAGGGGCAAGAACATTAAATGGTTTGACACAGAGTTCTGAAATGGTGGGGGATTGATGATATGAATTGGAGCACTCTGATGGAGATTTTAAAGCTTCAAAGGGTCCACCTCTTTTTAACTCCTTTGGTTGAACAGGATATGACAAGCGACATTTTGGAGCATATTGATTTAGGTTAATTTAAAGGTTGTTTCGTAATTGCTGAATGATTTAGTACAAAATGATTGAGTGGTCGGAATGATTAAAAGACTATCATGATATAGTGCAAAATGAAATATAATTGTTTAGTAATTGTGTACAATGAAATTAGGGCTCTTAATGGTTAAGGGATATTCATGATACAAAATCATTCAGAGTGTTTTAGAACCATTAAGAGGCATATTTTTATTTTGCCAAACAAAATTCATCTCTTAACGGTTCAGATGTTGCCTCTTAATGGAACTATTAAGAGGTAAACAAACAACTACTTGATCACATTCTGTTTAGAAAAAATTCATCCTTGGTTGTTACTCTTTTTCCTCATATGTAAGTAAGTTCGTATTTTCAATTGGGTTTCAAGAAGATTACAAAAGGGATCCATAAAATGGGAGTTGTGAGTCGATAATCCATACTTCTTGTCTTTCTCCATATAACCTTTTCGGTGGTTTCTTTGCTCGTCTTCACTTAGGGTTTGCTCCCCGGCCTTTCGATTTTGTGCGGTTCCTGTTTGGGAATTAGGTTTCTTGGTTAAAATAATTTAGATATTTTTCTAGAATCGTGTTTGGAAATCACGTTCCAAATATTGTATTCCATCCTTTTAGTGCCTTAGGTTTATACGAAATCATTACCATAATAATCTAAAAAAAACATACAAGAAATAAGGCACTGATTTCGTGTGTGTGTGTGTATATATATATATATATATATATATAGGTGGAGGATCAAACGAGAACACCTCCATTTTACGAGAACACCCTTATCACATGTGACAATACGCGTGAGGGGACCCTGTGATGTGCGGACAACGTGTTCTACGACTTAGGCCACACCAAAGGTTGTCTGTGTCTATGATTTAGCATCACATGTGATGGTCTTGATGGATTATAGTATCATATCAACAATTCCCTTATCACATGTGATAATACTTGTAAGGGGACTTAGTAGTGTAAGAGCGACTTGACCCGCAACCAAGATCGCATCGAAAATCGTCCACGTCTCTAATTTAGTATCACATGTGATTGTCTATAGTAAAAGGATGTTCTTGCGTTCTCGTAAAATGAAGGTGTTCTCGTTTGAACCTTTCAAAAGATATTATAGTATTAGTTTGATTTTTCAGAGGACTTATAGTGATATAACAATACTACGTATATAATATTTACATGTACAATACTACAATGCCATGTGTTTATGTAGACCTACAAGTCCAGTATATTAAATCAGGTTAAACAGCATGAGCAGAAGCTTCAGGATGATCGTCTTTCTTGAACATATTCTTGATTGCTTCTTCCTTTTCATCAATAAAATTGAAAAAGTTAAACAAAACCACGTAACATTGCCTGCTCCTCGATGACGACGACGACAGCGGACATGGTTCGAGCATCATCTGCTGCCGTTTGAAATAGATATACTGACTAACGGTTTGTAGCAGAAACAAAACCAACGCCGTCAGCGAAAACACAGCACAGATGATGTATAAACCCCAGAAGCTGCTCATATGCAGCTGATTAGGCTCGGAATCGCGGCGGTAACCATTCATACACCCTTGTTTACAGAACCAGTTATCGTGGATTTCTTGAAGCTTTCCATTTTCGGCAAGTTGCAGGATCGATAGGGAGAGTGTGGTCGCAAGAGGAGAGTCTCTCTTGAATGCCTGCCATTTTAAATACATGAATTTATTGATTCAAGAGTATATTCCATTTTTGGAGAATCTGTTAAAGATACTTACAAATCCCCATCCGCTTCTAGTGAATGGTTGACCAACAATCCCGTAATCAGCATATTCCGAAAGAAACAACTCCACATAAGTAAGTTCATCGACAATGGCTGCCACCCCTCCATTATGTGGCCCTAACCGCAATGCTCTATCATAAGCCTCTGGTGACCCGAGAGGAATGAGCCTTGATCGAGGCACGTAAAGATTTTCAGCCAAATAAGTATATGCAAATGACCCAACTTGGTACCCGATTGGCAGATGACTCGACACTAAGCTATCGATACCCGTAATGGGCGACGAAAGCTGCTCGACGGTAAGAATGGACGTCAAGCTTGCAGTGTAGCTTGACGTGATCACCATCAATAGAAAAAGCCATACCACCATCACCATCCGTCCAAGTGGGCTAACCGTATCTTCCTCTGCAATTTATCATGTAATTAAACTCTGTATTTGTTAATGATCGTTAGAAGCAAATTGATACTCCCTCTGTCCCGAAATAAGTGTTTACATTTCTATTTTAGTTTGTCCCAAAATAAATGTCCACTTCCAAAAGTAAGTGTCTACTTTCTGATTCTACCCTTAATCATGAGACGGATAAATTCATTACTCGCTCTATTATTAAGGGTACAATTGTCATTTAGTTAAATTAAAAAGTGTAATATTTACACATTTAAGAAAATGTGTCTTCTTCATTGTGGACATTTATTTTGGGACGGGGGGAAGTAAAAGATTTCCAACAGAAGTAACAAGAAATCTACATTCAAGAAAACGATTAAAAGGAGTGATCCTCGTGCATCGGGGTTCCTTAATTCTGCTTAAATAGACAAAATGTACAGATGAATAAGTGCTTACGGTTTCTCTTGAAAAGAGTCGAAAAGCTGAACCTGAAAGACAGAAAACTTAGAGGTCAGCATTCTTTGGCTTTTTAGGAAATGACTATATGCTTCATGTTAACAAACAGACTAACTGCATGTGCAAATCACAAGCTTGTCAATGATGAACTCAATTATTCTCATCACCAACATATGTGTTGGAGTCCCACAACGTCTAGACACTAACCATCAAACCTATATATTTTAAATAATATATTATGATATATTTATATATATATATATATATATATATATATGATGGAGGTTCAAATGAAAACACCTCCATTTTACGAAAACGCGAGAACCCTCTTATCATATGTGATAATACATGCTAGGCCCCCTGGTGGTTGCGGATGACTTGGCCCGCGACCTAAGTCGCACCAAAGGTCATTTGAGTCACTGATTTAGTATTACATATGTATTATATGTGACAGATTACAATATCACATCGAGAATACCCTTATTACATGTATTAGCGAGGGACCTAGTGGTGTGCAGGCGACTTGGCCCGCAACCTAGGTCGTCTGCTTCTCCGATCTAGTATCACATAAGTATTACCTATAGTGAAATGAAGATGTTCTCGTTTAAACCCTTCCCATATATATTATATAGGGGCCGGTTAATGTGAGAACTGTGAGAACCTGTATATTCATTGATGCAAATACACTAATGAAGTTCAGTGAGTATATGCATCAATGCATATATACTTGCATACATAGTATATATGTATTGATGAATATGCTTATTGACAGAATACATATTAGTGTATATGCATCAATGAATATAAAGCTTCTCACGGTTCTCAAATCTTTGGTGGTACTCACGTCAGTCACGTGAACCTATGTGTAAATATATATATATATATATATATATATATATATATAGGGAGAGGGAGAGAGAGGTTCAAAGGAGAACCACAAATACTTTGATAACTGGGAACTGATTTTTTAGTGTATGTTTAACGTTGAATATATTCATTGACAAAATACAAATACAAGTGAATATATTCATCAATGAATATATATTAAATCCAATGTCGAGAGGGAAACAACCTAGATCATATGCTAAGGTCCCTAAGCAATCACTTAGTATTAATGAATATATAATATATACTCATTGATGAATATACACACTGATCAAGGAATACACACTATAAAATTAGTACACTTGGTTCTCAAACCATGTGTACATTATAAGGGATCTTTTTTAGAAAAAGATTCAAAGGGGTTCCACACGTCCTCACATGGTATAAGAGCCGTATGTAGGGACTTATCAGACTCTTTTGCCTCCTTTCTTGGAGGACAGTCTGTTGAAGGAGGGGGTGGGGGGAGTCTCACACCGGCTAGATACGGACTACAAAACCTATACATATGTAGACCCCCCCCCCCCTTTTCAAAGGGTTCCACATAACATATGTATGTGTGTGACATTATCGAGCTTAATAAATAAATTACACATAAGCACAAAAGAAACTTACAAGAAAATCGTGACAAGCTGTCTCCTAAGTGGACCCCTGAAATCATCGTTAACGCGATGCTCAAGAAGCCACATAACAAGAGCAATCAATACAAAAGCAGCGGCAGTGACAAACCACATTTCTTTAGTAAACGGTCTAAGAAATACCCAAGTGCTCGCTTTTGAATTGTTGATAGGAACCACTATCACGAGACCAGTCGTGGCATAAGGCTGCGTGTAATCAACAATCTTCGTTCTATTTGTAACAATCGCGATATCTCCAACTGCCCCATCAAAAACCTGTAGTTAACCACAAGTTAAGGCTACAAAAACTTCTGTAAAACCAAACCAAACCAAACCAAACCAAACGAACCTAAACTAACAAAGGTTAAAAATAAAAATGGTGTTGAAAATCTAAATTTAGTGACCAATAAGAATTGCATCCGAGGAACCAAAGGGCCTTTGGCCTAGCGGTATCATAGCCCTTGGCCTTCTAGGAGGTCAGGGGTTCAAACCTCACCATAGGTGGGGAGGGGTGTGAGTTTATTTGTTGCATTTGATGTATATAAATATTATATACTTTAAAAAAAAATTGCATCCGAGGATCTAGAATTGCCTCAAAAGCTCCAATATATATATAGGGTCAGTTCAGGGGAAAACCGCAAAAAATTGAAAAACTGAGAAACACCATGGTAACTGTTCATCTGGATGGTATGCACATGTGCATACAAGTAAGCAATTTGTCTAGTATGCACATGTGCATAACATGCAAACTTTGCATAAAAACCAAGAAACAACTTCAATTACTTGTATGCAAATGTGCATACCGTCCATATGAATGGTTACCCGGGCATTCCTCAGTTTTTCATTTTTTTGGACGTTTCCCCCTGAACCTCCCCCCCCCCCCCCCCCCCCCTCTCTATATATAGACCAGAATATCTCACTCGAAAGTAGGGTCTGGGGTTGTAATGTATATAAACGTGTTATCTACCCCAAAAGATAGTAGATGGGTCACAATCGTTTTTTATAAAATTACAATAAACATGGGATTTCACTAATCGTTACTTACATCATCTGCAACGAACTTTACAAGTTGATCGTAACTCGGGTTGGACTGACCATCTCCGAATGGCACAAATCTATAAGGAATATCATAAGGAACTAACTTAAGTGCTTGCATAAACACATCAATACAGTATCCTTGTATCGTATGATTGCTTAATTCTGTAGCAAATTCAATAAAGCTGGCTCGTTTTGGTACTCCGATTCTTAAAGGCCGTTCTTTGTCACCAATGACCCATCCACGTGGCCGATCTGTCTTTCCACCAGGCCAAGTAATCACACCTAGCTTCTCGTCTAAAGGGTAAGACATACTTTTATTCACTTTGATAGATTCGGGTGGCACAATAGAGAGACCTGAATGGTTTGACCAATAACCAACATTGTGAATCGCTAATTGGTGGATACTAACAACTTCGTAGCCACGGGGAACCAAGTTTCTATCTGCATTGAACTGAATAGGACCGGTCGAACCGTTGAAATTTGTCTCTAATAATATCTTGACGAATTGTTTCCCGCCATCAAAGGTCTTGAGTTTCCCAAACTGTGAACCCACAAATGAAAACGTCATATTCTTTTGTTGATTGAGAAACGAATCGATTGTGTGTGCTACAGTCCACACTGCATCATATGCATACGATCCGTAGACTCCGAAGTTCTTCTTCCGTGATGCTTGTGGAATATGCTGACAAAGACCAACAACGCCTTCGATAATTCCAAAAGATGACTGGTTACTTGGTGTAAATGAAGCTAAAGTGGTACAAAGCCAATCTGTCGCTAGCCATACATAATCATCGGTCATCATATTAAGCTTATTGGCTACTTCAAAGATTTTCAGATCAGGATCAGGATGAATGTGGATGATATAAACACGAGGGCCATACGGGATTGATTTATTAAGCACATCAGTGATATCGTTAAGATCAAAATTAGTCGGCAAAGCTAACTTATAAGAAATCTTTGACATTCTCTTCTCCACTTCACCGTCTAAAGAAAACACCCCATTCCTCCCATACTCATCATCCACATATATGGCAATCACCTCTTTCCAACCATAAAAGTCGATCAAATTAGCCATGGCTGCCATTTGGTACGAGTCACTTTGTGTGGTCCGGAAGAAGTAAGGAAATTGCAGCGAAGATAAAGTGGGATCCGTTGCAGCATAAGAAATTATAGGGACTTGTACACCATTTGCAATCTGAGATACCATATGAGCTACAGTGGATGACTGTGGCCCAATTATTGCCACAACGTCTCTCTCGAGCATCTGAAATGCTGACAACAAGAAACTTTATCTCGGTAGCATCAAGTGTTAATGATGAGAAAACACGAGCTAAATTGGTATATTATAATAGAAATCGACAAATGGAATGTAGAATTTTAGTATATGCCATCATGTTATGCAAGGGATAAAAGGCAAGGAAATGTTTGATCATCCACACAAAAATAACAAAAAAATCCAACAAGATTTCTTTGTTCCTTAAGGATGCGTTTAGTATCCAGACTTGCGGGACAGAACAGGACAATTGTTCAGCATTTGGTAAGGCTGGATAGTTGTTTAGCGTTTGGTAAGACAGGACAGGACAGATAAAATGACCCATTTACCCCTAATGAGTTGTTTATATCTTATATACATTTTGATTAATTTATGCATGATAAAATAGATATTTTATAACAAAAAATATCATTAGAAAGTTTTCGACAGGATAATTAAAATGACACCAAAACGAAATTTTATGTAGTTTCCAATTTTTATTTTATACCTTTTCTATATTATTTTTTATTATTAATATTTAATAGATTACATAAATTAACCAAAATATAGAAACCGGATAAAAATAATATTTTGTGACAGCAAAGTGAAAATTTAAAAAGCATAAAATACAATAAATAATATTTAAAGAATGAATAAAATGTAAAGAGTGTGGCGTAATTGATGTTTTAGATGAGAATTAGGTTTTATTTTGAGGTTATATTGGTAAAATATAAGTTTGTTCCACCCTATTCCATGGGATAGAGGTGGAACACGGTTGTTCCACTCTGTTCCTATTTGTTCTACATAAAAGTCCTACCAAAAGTGGAACGGTGATCCCTATACCAAACACACCCTAAAGATAGTTAACAGATAAAACTATCCGCTTTATATTTGTTTTCCATGATCTCCATGACGAAAACAGACTCTCTACCAATCAATTCATTCAATATTTTCCTTTTTAGAGGACATTCGCATTTGAATTACCCAACCCATCTACCAGGCTCTTCGCCATCGGGTAAAAGATGCTTCCTCTTTGCATTTATTAAGATTCTTTCTCCAAGAGTGTTATGATAGAGATAGTTTTATTACTTTGTGTAAAAGGTTTTTTTAAACCAACCCCCAAGCCAGCCTACACCACCCCCCCCCCCCCCCAAAAGAGCATTACGTGAGAGACAAATCAGGTACACAACGATCCGTTAGGTGGCTAACTTAAGAGCCTAATGCCCACAAATAGCCCAATTCCTGAAGGAATAGTTGCGGTGGTCACACTCGAACCCTCACCAGTTAATTAAACCGCCCGAAATCAAGTGTACTACACCCTGGGGACAATAGTCTTATTATTTCAAATTCAAAGAAAGCCGGTTCTTCTTTTTCAAACATGGGTAGGGTAAAGGTAAAGGTATGCGTACATCATACCCCAAACACCTACTCTGCTCCACGTGAGATTTATAAGGTTCGTTTGGTTTGCTTATTGGTTTCCATGAGCTATTACAGAAGTGCTTTGTGTAAGAGCTTTATGACCTTAGTTTTCTCCATATCGATGGAAGTTTCCACTTAAATCATGCAATCCACCACCAAGGGACAACACCTTTGAGATAGTAGGTTCAAATCCCCTTTGCCTTTGACAATTTCAATATGTATAGATACACAGTGAGAGGTTCAAATAAGAAGGCTAAATATTTAGCATTTTTATTTGAACCAAACATAAGTTATAAAGAACCTTAAGAATAAACCCTAACCCTGATAACAAGCTATTCAGATTACCCACATCTGGACTTTAACATCTCGATTGAAGATCAAGCTAATAATAAAAGTAAAAGGTCATTATTCTCTTTAATACTATCGCAAGTTTGATGTTCTTCGAGTGCCTTGTTTAAATTAATGGAAAAAGCCACTTTGTTAGCATGTGTAGAACCACCAAATACTTGTTCTACAATAATTCCAGATTGAATTCATATCGAAGAACTAAAACCAACATAGAAGTTTGATCTCTAAATCATGATAAAAGAAGAGAAAACGCATATACACACACACACACACACACGTGAGACAAGGGTTTTTCGTAAGACCCGTAACACCAATTTATGTTCATTGATCAACATTATAAACTTTGATCTAATGGTCTAAAGTTGCAAGATGACAATTTTGTAATTATTGAGAAGTATCATGGTGTTTATGAATGTTCAGATCTACGATTGTAAATCTAATCCAATAGTTGAGAATTGGTTACGGATCTCACAAAAAAACCATTGGTCTCACGTTACCCTAGTCTATGTATATGTATGTATGTATATATATGTATGTATATATATATATACCTCCAATAGAACCCTTGAAGACGCTACAATTAGTATCCTCCATAAATAACTTCATCTCGGTACCATTGAGAATCCTCGAATCCTTATTCACATCAGATACAGCAATTTCCATGGCTGCCTTCGCTTCCTTACCGATAACCGAATCAAACGAAAAAATAGCTCCAACATTTACAACAGTAGGCCTTTCGGAGTAAGCACAAGTGTTGAGAAGCAATGATATGAAGAGGGTTAATAATAATCCTAAAGTGGACTCCATTGTCGCAAAACCTTGCTACTTTTGGTAGGATTACTGGTGATGTTTTGCCGAAATAGCCATGAATCAAGCCCTAAATTTGGGAAGTCTTTTGAGGTGGAGAAGAGTGGGTTTTAGTCATCAATTAGTGCATTGTGTGAATCATCATTAATGCTGTGGAACAGGTGGTGGTGGGGTTTGATGCCTGGATAAGATTAATGGCCACTAGATGAATATATACATGTTGATGATCCCTTCAATTATTTTATTTATTTATTTATTTATTTTTAAGAATACTTTAAAAAAAGTATTTGATTCTTATTCCGTATGTTTCAACCATCTTTTAGGTGACATTGACGTGTTTCGTACCATCTTTTAGGTGACGTTGACGTGTTTCGTAAAGGAAGTTCTTTAAAAGAGTAAGTTATAGATTTAGTTTACGTGATTATATCAGAAATTTGAATTGGGTCCCACAAGCAAACTAATTACAGATTTAGTCACTATGGTTTTTATTTCGTTACAGATTAAGTTTCTCATACAATCATTCTAAACGCTGCTTTGGAGTCGTTAGCCCATTAGACCCTTCACGTGCTCCCAATGTGAGGGGCATATTTGTCTTTTTCTAATATTCTAAAAGAAATCTTTCCCTCTCATTTGAAAGAATCAAACCTTTCGTTAGAGATCTTCCAGACGAAACTACATCCCTTCAATCATCGGTTGACAAACCCCACTGTCATCGCCAATCTCTATTATTTGCTCTTCCACCACCCTTAACTCACCATAAACTAACGACCATCATACACCAAAAAACAACCCCAATTACCCTCTCAAACCCCGGTTTTCACAAGTGAAAATGGAGGATATTCGTACTGGCACTGGAGATAGGCAAGTGGTCTTCGGAAAATACGAGATAGGGAGGTTGTTTGGTCCAAAGAATGTTAAAGTTTATCATACGAGGGATTTAGTCATGGCGGAGGGTGTCGTTGTTATAGTTATCAAGACAGAACAAGTGAAAAAAGAAGGTTTAATGGTCAAATCACCAGGTTGATCGCCGTCATGCGACTGGTCCACCACCCTAACGTCATTCAGTTGAAAAAAGTTATGGCCACTAAAACCAAGATCTTTCTGGTAATGGAGTGCGTCAGAGGCGGCGAATTATTCGCTAAAGTTGCAAAAGAACGATTGAAAGAAGATTTAGCAAGGAAATATTTTCAGCAATTGATCAACATCGTCAATTACTGCCATAGCCACGACGTCTCCCACCATGATTAGAAGCCAGAGAATTTCATCCTACACGAGAACAAATATCTCAAAGTTTTTTGATTTTGGATTGTCTACTTCGTCGAAGCAGTTGAGGAATGACGGAATGCTTCATACTTAGTATGGTACGCCGATATACGTCGTGTCAGAAGGTCTCTAGAAAAAGGCTAAGGACGGTGTCGGTGAACCATACTCACAGTTAACCATCATGGGTTTTGCCGAAGAAGATGAAAAAAATGTAAGGGTCGTTGTTGAGGAGAGAGAAGAAGGAAGGAGACGAAGAAGATCTTAAGTCTGTAAATGCAATTAGACAAATGAAAATATTAAGAGAGAGAGAGAGAGAGAGAGAGAGATTTATTACAATATTAAAGAAGAGTGTCTTTTGAAATGACAAAAATGCCCCTCATATTTATGGGTCTGACGACTGCAAAATAATAGATTTAAGATGAGGGACCCGATTTGCAATAAAATCAAAACCACAGTGATGATATATGTAATTAGTTTGTTTGAGGGACCCAATACAAGATTTTGATATAACCATAGGGACCAAACATGTAATTTCCTCTAATTAAAATAAACAATGTTAGAGTAAATTACATTTTTGGTTCTTATGATTGTCACTCATTATCAAGTTTGGTTCATCTTTAAAATTAACTACAGTTTTGGTCCTTGTAGTTGTCATTTTATTTCACTTTTGGTTCATATGATTAACTTTAGTTAAAAATGTTAGTTGCCTTGAGGATATTTTTTACCTTTTTTTTTTGTCTTTTTATTGAATTATAGAGTAAATTAAGATTTTCGTCCATATGGTTTGTATTTTTTTCTTTATTTGTTTTTCATACTTGGTATAAAATGAACAAGGTATGAAAAACAAACCACAATGACGAAAATCATAATTTACCGTACAGGGACCAAAATTGAAATAAAATGACAATCACAATGACCAAAACTGTAATTAATTTTAAAGAAATACCAAATTTGATAACGAGTGACAACCACGAGAACCAAGAATATAATTTACTCATCACGAAACCCAACCGAACCACATGCTCTTTCTTCACCACAACTAACATATTTGTTCCATCAGATGATTTAAAAGAAATTACGGGGTATAACCACATACAGGTTTGAGCACCATCTATTATTACTATAGCAGTAATATGAAGACCAACAGTGCGGTCTCACAAATTCTAGTACTAGATTACATTTTCAATTACTAATACATAAGAAAAATATGATTTATTTGAACTTTACTAATATATGTAACCTTTCTATCCAATCCACTCTATACAATATGGAGGATCAAATTAAGTTGCGGTTAATTTCAATGATAAACAAACATGTTTAAAAGAGGGAAAAGAAACCCCGACCAATCTAAACTTGATTCAGAGTATTTGTTACACCCTAACTATCAGTACATGAAATTACAAAATCAACCACAAGGATGGTGTCTGATTGGTTTAAGCTTGGCTCCAAAGATCAAAAGTACCAGGAGGTCTCAGGTTCAAATCCAATGAGGAATAAAAAAATTCCCTTATGGTCACGGAGGTTCAAATGCGATGACTCCGGGCTATCTACAAAAACAGGTGGTCGCCCTAGGATTAGTCGGCTCGCATAACGGGTTGGATATCCAAGTTAATCAATTTTTTTTTACAAAATCATTATATTAATGTGCCCAAACCTCCCAACTGATCGTGCATGGTGACACCCTAATTATGCATGTGTCGGTGTCACCATGCATAACTCAAACCATCAAACAATTTTTATTATCGTCTCTTCTTATTTTCGGGCATATAATATATACTATATATATATATATATATATATATATATATTACATTATTTTTTAAAGAAAATGAGAAAATTTTGAAAATGACCCCAGGTCCCTTCAAAGTGTCCCTTACAAGGGAACATCATTTAATCAAAGAGTCATCACTCTTACTTACCGAGTAAGACTCTCGATTATTGTGTTCTCTCTTACAACGGTAAGATATTTGGTCTTGTCATGTTCACCCGATAAAGTAAGTAATCTGATAAACGCTTAATAATGCAAGTGTTTAGTAAAAGACCCGTTACTCTATTATCTCGTAAACATAAGCAACTTATAAAATATCTCGATCTAATATACGAGTCAAAAAGTTATGGTCGTTCGAAGTTTACTGCAAATATGATTACGATGAATATGAAATGTAACGAATAAAAGTACGTGGATGAGATCGTTAGAAGTAGTACGCCATTATGTTTTGCTTTTCATTCTTTGTTGTTAAATCTTTTATACATTTTGGCGTCATTATATATATTGTCATGAACTTTTTCGTCGTCATACGAACCAAAACTCATACGATCTACTCACGGAAATACGGGTTCGCAGCTTCTAACTGTATGTTACCCATCTTGGAACCATGGTTATCAGCATCAAACGAACAAGTTGAGCACCAACAAGGTTGAAATGAATAGAGTACTCCGCAACCCTTTTGAAATTGGTATTTCAAAAATTAATAAGAAAAAAAAAAGAAGAAATTAGTTCATGAGGGACCCACTTTGAATAAGAAGGTTAAATATCATGAGAATGTAAGAAGGAAATATTCATATGTGAATTAATTAAAAAAAAATCATTTGAAGATGCATATGTGAACCCACGTAATAGATTATTCATATGGGTTTACAAATGCATATTCAAATGGATTTTTTCAATGATTCACATCTGAACATTCTCTTCTTACCTTCTCACGATATTTAGTCGTCTTATTTGAAGATTTGTTTCATGGATAATTAAGAATTAAGCTCACCACTCTGATCAGATGCTGCTTTGGGAAGTGCTGGAAGATCTGTGCCTGTGATTTGCATCAACCATAGATATGAATATTAGTGAATGTTTGGTTTGTGGGATTTTTTTAGGATTAAGGTGCCGTTTACCCAAATGCTTACTCGGTAAGTGCTTATTTACAGGAGTCAACACTATAATTTATTTTGATGAGTAAGATTTTAGTACATCAAAACGTATTGAATGCAACAATTTACCGGGTAAACGCTTACCTGGGTAAGAGTCATAATCTTCACTTACCTGGTAAGACTCTTCATCCTTCCCATCTCTCTTACCCGGTAAGATTCTTTGCCCTTGTCATGTTCATCCGATAAGGAAATTTATTCGGTAGACACTTACCAAGTAAGCGTTTAGTAAACGGCCCCTAAGTTGATGAAAGAAATGCAAAGAAATGCAAAATACCAGATGCACTTATATTAGATGATGGAGCAGGAGAATAAGCGTAAGAAGAAGGCCATGGCGCTGGAACGTCGTCATTAAGGTCGCATTTGAACCCGATTCCTGAACTTTGATCATACGTGACGTCAAAGGGCAAACTTGGGAAGAGGCAACCAGAGTCTATGCAAAAAGATTGAATAGGTTTAGGCCACATTTAAGCAGTAAGTTATCTTATTTTTTGAGCTTATTGGAAAAAGCTCATTTAGTTATCCATAAACTACCTTCTTGAAAAACTATTTCAAGTAGCGTTTCTATAAGTTGTATGAAACTTTTGGCTTTTTTTTTCATTTCTTTTTCCAATTATGCCCCTATAGTTTTTTGAATTAACTTTTCAACATGTTTAAGTCTGAGCAATTAATTTTTATCAAACATGACTAGTTTATCAGCTAAGAGTTTTAGCCAACAACTAGTTTTTTGACTTTATGATGTCCGGAGTTCGTACCTTGTGATCCAACTGTCGTATAGCAAGTAGGCAATTCCAAGTTCGATAGCATCAAAACGCCATTAAACCACCTATAACTTTGTTAGTCTAGAGACAGACAGAAAAACAAGAAATCTTGGAAGGTACAAAGAACACAAACCTTGGAGAGAGAAATCTTTGAGTTTTACGCCACAAATGTTGTACACGTTGTGGGAGACGTTCGCTTTTCGCAGATTTGCAGCAAGCGAATACGCACAATTGAAGGCTTGCAAGTTTGTAACGAAGCTTTGTACTTGCAACCGAGCAATGTACTTCTCCATAGCATCACAACAAGTGGTCTCGTTACTAATCTTATCTCCACATTCTTTCGTAACAATTTTCAGGTCGGGAAAGACGAGCGGACAAACTGGACGAAAAAGTGAACCACTTTGTTAAAAAGAGGCAAGAGCCTGTCAAAAGTAAGACGATAACTTATCTTTGTACTTATTGAAAAAACCCATATTTGGTTAGCTCTAAACTAGACTTTTTACGCTATTTCTCAATAAACTTCAAAGGTCTTTTTCCACTTTTTTCCAATTATGCCATCATGATTTTTCGTAATTAGTTTTCCAACGTACGTCCTTTTAGGTCATTTTGTATTGTCATTTAGTTTATTAGCTGGGTTTTACCAAATATGGTTGGTTTATCAACTAACATAACCTAAGATTTCTTTGCTACACAAATATGGCATGTTGTTAACAGCTTAAGGAGCTTAATTGGACTCACAACTTATTCGGTCAGCTACATATGATTGATTGTTTGCTTAAATATATAGAAAGTGGCTAATTCGATGAGCTTCTAGAGGGAGATTTATGAAGAAAACCAATTAAAAAACGCTCATTCTATCTATGAAAAAACCATCAGTCGTCTATACAGATGGATTAACTCAAACGCCCCTAAGACTGAGAAGATGTCCCAAATGGTAGACCTTGCTTTTGATACTATGTGAGAATATATGTAGAACCCCCAAATTTACTATCCAAAAGAGCCCTGAGGAGAGAGAGAAAGTTCCAACATATATATAGAGAAGAATTGGTCCAAATCTAGCTGATGTGAGATTGGAGAGATGATCGGAACAGATAAATTTCCATATTTTCAAAACATTATAATTACCTTTGTTGATCTTGCAACTAGAAATCCCTCGTAAAACTTTATTTCCATCTGCGGGATCGAGTCTACTCGCCAGCCATCGAAGAACAATCTTCCTACAATCATCAATCATGGCCACACGAACAGGCGATAGAGGTTCAGCTCCAACCATATCCGGCATACTGTAATTCGTTGAAGCAATCTCTACAGCAGCATCCGTGATCGCCATCTGACAAACTTTATGGCGGCACTCTTTCACCGGATCAATCCTCTCACACGATTCAAGAATCGTAGGAACGTTGCTCAGAGTGTTTTCAATATCGGAAACACGAACCATAGGGCAAGAAGATTGTGTGAGTTCTGATGGGTATATTGAGCATATGTTGAGAAGGTCGTTATTAGAACCTCGAGCTTGTAAAATTTGTGCGATATCCGAGAGGCAGTCGTTGGCGTGAGGCAGGCCAACTGCAAGAGTCTCGGAAGATAAACTAGACTGGCCGATAAGGATCTTGATTGCAGCATCGAGCTGAGGACAACAAACGACATTGGCTAGATATGGAGCCAATGAACTCCAGCAATCAATTGCTGTTGTGGCTAGTATACTTTCAGCATTTGAGAAGTTCAGTGGACACTTTCCTGAAAGGTTTAAACCGTTAAAAGATACGTGGAAGTTGAACCCCTTTTATCTATACATATATATATAGAGAGGGACGATCAATTGCAAACCTTTTTTTTTCCGTTATGAATCGTAGGAGAAAGGGAAATGCAATACGTGTTCCCGATTGTCCACATTCATTGTGAATAATAAACGTCAACATTCATGAATGTTGATGTTCATTATTCATGATGAATAAAACACAATTCATGGTCCGTGATGAATGTTTATGGTATTTATTTGGTTGTGTGCTACGGTGCAACCACAAAAATATCCTTTTAGATATGCCTCTGTTTGATACATGCACTACTAAATGGAAGATTTTTACTGAAATCCATCACCAAAGGGGTGATTCGTTACAAACGTTGGTTGGTAAATTGTTGGTGAGAAACTCAAATCAGTGACGGATTATACAAGGTATTGGTATTAGCTAAGGGGGCTATTTGACAATTGCTGAATGATTTGGTACAGAATAATTAAGTGTTCACAATGATTAAGAGGCTCTCGTGATATAGTACAAAATAAAATATAAATGTTTGGTAATTGTGTACAATGAAATTAGCGCTCTTAGTGGTTAAGGGAGATCCATGATACAAAATCATTTAAAGGGTTTTGCCAAACAAGATTCACCTCTTTAACGGTTCAGAGGTTGCCTCTTAATGGAACTATTAAGAGAAAAAAACAACCCGTAAGTGATCCGTTGGTATTTTCTCGAAAAACTCAAATCATTTGTTTTATAGTGATAGAGCGGATATGAAGAGTGAGGTAGGCGGGTGAAAGAATTGGAATATATATACCTGATAAATGTGGCAGGGTAAGGTTGGTGAATGGCATGAGTGGTGAAGGGGCAAGAAGTGGAAGAAGATCCAAAGCAGCAGCAGGTGATTGAGCTTGTTTGATGTTTAGTTGTATCTGGGAAGGGATGATATCTGATTCGGATACACCTGCACACCCGTAGATATATATATATATATATATATCATCAGAAACACGATTAATTCTAGTTCTAGCTCATAATTTGAGTGAGATGAATGCCCAGTCATTACTTACTGAAAAGCAGCAGCAGCAATGTGAATTGAAGAACTTGACCACCCACCATTCCCACAATCAAAAGGGAAATCCGAGCTTGCAATTTCAATATAGGATGGCGATATATATATATATATATATATGTGTGTGTGTGTGTGTGTGTGTGTGTGTGTGAAATTGAGAGTGGGTAGTTTCGGGGTCCATGTTGTGGATGGCGAATTGAGTGAGGATGTTGTTTGATTCACACGGAAGGCGAGAGGGAGGGAGGGAAAATCTGTTGAGTCAATGACTTGAAGGAGAAGGATGGTCACGTGAGACGCGTATGCCGCCATTTCCGCCGAAGATACTCATTTGATTCTATGATTGAGTACCGATTAGTCCACTTAACATTTCATTACTTTAAACAAATTTGATTTTTTTGGGGGCTATATTTTATTTTTAACATTTTTAACCCAGTTGTTACAGTGTAACCCTGTATAAGTATGTGTTAAACCAATAAGGACTCGACAAACGAATTGTTTAAATGTATAAATGTTAAAGTATAAGACATATCAGTTACTCTTAGGCATTTGCATTCGAGGTACTTCTAGGGTTCCTCTAATATTGTGAATATCAGAAGCTCGCACCTAACGTCATGCCTACGGTTGGTGGCGGATCTTCGCGTCATCACCCACTTGGCAAAAATGTAAAAGTAGAAGGGGGTTTTGTGCAAAAGTGGAGGGTTCCAAGGTAGGATCATGAGCCGTTCAGGCCGCTCCAACCTTCTTCATCACATGATCATATAAATTCCAAAATTTCCAACAAAAAAGGTTGCTTCTAGTGATGGTTTTTGGACTTCTTGATTCCTCGTTTTAGGGCTAACTATTTGTTTTTTGGGAAAAAAAGTCAAGATTTTTAGGTATAAATAACTAAATGAATCATACATGTTATTATCACTTATTTGGTTTAGATTAGTTTGAAAATTTTATGAACCAAATTAATCAAACTGAACCATGCATGATTTTGATTGTTGCTGACTTGCCGTTCCACACCCATTATAAAGAAAATACATTTATAAGAAATGAATTTTAAATACAAGTTTAATATCAGTTAAAATTCGATCTGTTTGATTTTAAGTTATAATCATATTATTTCACATTTTTGTTCTTGTATATCTATATGTGCGTAGCTTCCATGAGAAACTATATTGATGTTCTTTTACAGGATTGAAATAAATATTGATTATGTATTTGATATGTGCTCATATTTATAATGCATAAAAAGATACGAGTCCTCGTGAATGTAAAACAAAAACTAAACCAAATGATGGTGTCTAATTGGTTTGAGTTTGGCTCCAAAGGTCAAAAGCACATGGAGGTCCCAGGGTTAAATCCAAGGAAAAATAAAAATCCCCTTATGGCCACGAAGATTCAAATGCGGTGACTCTGGGCTATCTGCAGCACAGGTGGTTGCCCTAGGATTAGTCGGCTTGCATAACGGGTTGGATATCTAGGTTAATAAAAAAAAGCTATAGCAAATACAAGTCATGATAATGTTGTGTGAATTAGGAGTGAGTTGAGCATAAAAATGAAGGGAAATAAATCAGCTGCAGCAACAAATTGAAATAATAGCAGGATAAAATAAAATTATTACAAAAATTGTTGCCAATTCTCAAAATTCCATTTGATAATATGCAACAAATCATACATTTTATTTGTCACTTGCTCAAATTGTACAATTAAATTAACCTTAATCTTAATCTCTCTCATTTTTGTGTTGATAGTTGTCGGATAACATATGGAAGGATACCACCATGATTGAAATAAGCCAATTCCACCTGCCATAAACCAAACAAATTATCAAACTACTGATTCAAACCGAAACACCAAAATTCTGAACTGGGACTGAAATAAATGAAAGTGAAGAAGTACCTCAGTGTCAAAGCGGGCAATACACGTGAATGACTTTCCGGTGTCGGTGCTGACATTGACATCTTGACCAGGCCGGATCTCACTAATGTTGCTTGGTAGGTCAATGGTATACCGTTCATGACCAGTCAACTGTAGTGTGTCGGCATCCTCACCGGCTTTGAAGCAAAGTGGTATAATACCCATTCCTACCAAATTACTGCGATGAATCCTCTCAAAGCTTTTTGCAATTACGGCTTTAACTCCCTATATATATATATATGTATCCACCGTTATAACCATCAATTGAAGCCAAAAAGGTAGAAAGGGTTTAAGGAATGAAGATAGGTTACCAATAACATAGGACCCTTGGCAGCCCAATCTCTGGAGCTTCCACTTCCATACTCTGCTCCAGCCAACACTATTGTATCCTGACCAGCATCTTTGTATCTCTGGAAACACCAAGTTAAAAACAATAATTCACCATTATTCCCTCTTCCAGAAATATACGTCCTTTATGAGAAAAACAGTTCTAGAAACATGTAACTATTTAATTAATTAAATGACAATTTTACCCTTAATAACAGAAGCAGCAATGAATTTCTCCTCCTCATATTCAGTGTCAAGTGTCGGAACCAGGAATTTTGGTGAAAAAAGGATGTGGGGTAAAATATTTATTACATTTAGAAAGGGTTTTATCGCATTTTCGGTGGGTAAAAAATTTATTACATGTTAAAAGGTTTATCACATTTATAGTGAAGGGTGTGGAGTAAAAAACTTTGAAAGGTAAAAATTTCTTTTTTAAAGGGTTGACTGGGTCAGTTGACCCCACCCTCTACAAGGTGGAACTGCCCCTGCCATGTATAAGGGTAGAATTGAAAAGTAGACAATTACTTTTGAAAGTGCACTCTCTTATTTTAGGACAAACAAAAATAAAAATATGGACATTTAACAATCATGTTTAGAAAACTTACTGATGCTGCATCGAACACCGAGAGTTTCTCTCCTGTGGGGACATGTACCGTTTTTGGGCCAACCTCCCCGTTTAAGAGCTTGTTGACAAGGCGAATATTGGCAAAAGTACCCCTTGCCATAATTTCATCRTTACCTCKWCGACTRCCATAMGAATTGAAGTCCTTGCGATCAACMCCRTGTTCAAGAAGRAACTTTGCAGCYGGGCTGTCCTTGTGRATGCTTCCWGCAGGYGAAATGTGATCTGTTGTGATACTGTCACCAAAGTTCAGCAAGCAATAAGCATCCTTCACACCGTGGGCCCCAGGAGGGTTCATCGTCATGTTTTTGAAATATGGTGGCTCGTGAATGTAGGTAGAGTTTGTATCCCATGAATATAGCTTAGATTCAGGGACTGATAGGTCATTCCACATGGGATTTCCCTGGGTGATGGATTCATAAGTACTCTTGAACATGGCGGGAAGTACACTCGATTGAACAGCCTGCACCAATTATGTTTCCAGTTTAAAACATAACATTAGAAAATTAGAAACCACCAAAAAAACTAGCAAAATACTTCGCAGGGTGCTTACATCCGCAATTTCTTCGGAGCTTGGCCAGATATCCCTGAAATATACGTCCTTTCCATCTTTTCCAACTCCAATTGGTTCCTTCTCAAAATCGATATCAACCTGGGAAACAAAAGTGACATTCACTTAGCTGATGCAATGAATTAAAAACAAGTGCACAGTTATCTGATACAATATCATATGATAAGAACCTGGATGACACTAGAATTTGTGAAAGCTTTTTTACATGCGACCTTCATATCAACTTTCATGATACGATAAATGTGGTGCCATTGACTAAATTTGACTATTGGATGGCTTTCATGTCATACGGGTAGCAAAAAGTACATTAAAATTCATCAAAGATGTTTAAACTTCAAGATCCGCAACTACATTCCGGCAGAACACTCTACCTACCCTACAGTCTTGCAAAAATCTCCATTTACTTGAAAAATCGATCTTAAATTTGATTCACAAGTTCATTTGTATGAAGTCATCTTCATTTTCAAATGGCATATTTCTCTACTTATAATCTTCTCTTGATATATTATAGACGGAATAAGTTGTTAATATTAATATTAAATCAAGTCAAGTTCTTACCGTGCCAGCAAGGGCATAAGCAACAACCAAAGGGGGAGATGCAAGATAGTTTGCTCTTGTTAAGGCATGAACACGCCCCTCGAAGTTTCGGTTCCCAGAGAGAACAGCTGATGCAATGATATCTGCACAGACGACCAGAAGGTGATATAGGCAATTACCAAATACATAGCACCATGATGTGAAGGAAATGGAGGCTACAATTTCTTAATTAGCTCATAATAAAGTAACACAAGAATAACCATACCATTTTCGGTTATAGCGGCACCAACAGATTCGTCCAATTCCCCTGAATTGCCAATACATGTTGTGCAGCCATATCCAACAATGTTGAAACCTTGCTCATTTAAATACTTCTGCAACCCACTGTATTAACCAAAAAGGACATCCATATTAATCTTTTACTTTTATGAGTTAACAGGATGTGAAATGGAAAAGCAACGATATAGGACTCATGTTCAATCAAGACATACCTTTGGAGCAAATATTTGGTAACAACTCCAGAGCCTGGAGCAAGACTTGTTTTAATCCATGGTTTGACCTGGTGTTTGTGCATTAGATAAATAAATTAGGTTAGAAGGAAAAATATAGATCCAGAGTTGAATTGGCGAAAGAGAATTGGGAAATCCAAGTGGCACCAGAAATTAAAAAAAAAAACTCCAAAAAATTGCATGACTAACCTTTAGGCCCAATTCACATGCTTTTTTTGCAACAAGACCTGCCCCAAGCATAACACTAGGGTTTGATGTATTGGTGCAACTTGTGATAGCAGCAATCACAACACTGCCATGCCTAAGCTCTGCTGGCTGTCCATGAAAAGAAAATTTTGCAACTTTGTCTTGTGCCTCCTTTGGTACAGCAAAACCCTGCAATGCAAGTTGCAAGTTAACGAATGCTACAAAACCTTGTAATTATGTGACATCACAGCCAGCTCATGTGGCGCCTACAAAAGGCGGGGTGATGTCAAGAAAATATTCAAATTTAGACTTAGACTTAGATGCTCATGAACCAAAGCTATATTTGAAGATTTCTATGCATGAAAATATTCAAATTTAGATTTAGATGCT